AGATTAGTGTTTCCCAAAGTGTGGTACGCGAACCCCCAGGGGTACGGGAAGAGTTTAATGGGGGTACGTGTTCTTATGTGAAATATCTTCCATCAAACTAAAATTTCAAAAAATTTTATTTGAAAACAAAGCTAGCATGAAAATTTACGAGTACGTATTTTTCAATTGGCTATTTTTTGCAGAGTTAACAGTTAATAATAAGTAGTGTCAACAGCCAGTTGTGATTTTTAACTTTTGTGCAATTTTTTTATAGTAAAATATACATTCATTTTTTTATTAGTGGTACACAGCGTTACGAAAAATTTAGAAAGGATACACAAAAGTCATAAGTTTGGGAAAAACTGCTCTAGATTATCACAACTCCATCCCTCAAAATTTCGAAACTCTCAAATCCAAATTCGTCCAAAAAAATCAAGGGAAAATTTTTGTTGATTGCGATAAAAAAAACATGTTTTTGTGTCAAATTTCCAACTTGTAATCTCATTTGCACTAATTAACTGGCCTACCTAATGTAGATCCCTCATCAATGAAACTGTCCTTGTTTTGTACGTAAAAATTCGAAAGTGATTCAAGGTGTTTTGCTTACTGTATGCTACGTAAAAAATCTACCTGAAAACAAATTTGCTTCTTCAATATAAGAATAAGATAAGGTTTTCAAAGAGTTTAACAATGTCGAGAATCCACCATTTTCTGAATTTACTGTAGCCTGCAGTCAAAAGATACAATTAAAAAGAATGGGTCTCACGCAAGCTTAATTGTTGCCTAACCAGGAAGAGACAAAGACATTCTTTTCCAAGACTGTAACGGGAGATTGAACCTGTTCAAGAAAAAAATACCCACAGAAAAGGAATTTATGACTTAGAGGTACTTGTTTTGCAAGGTCGCAAGTGAACCTTTGCAAAAGGAAAACTCATTCATAGTGGATTTAAAGAGTGCTGAAGAATTGAAAGTGGATAATAAATTTACTTCAGTACAGTGCTCTTGACTTTGTTAACTTTGAGTTAAATCAGTGTAAATATTTAAATTGAATCACCGATACAAGCAATTTTTTTAAATGACTAAGTTTACCCAGTTGATTCGAATAAGCACGTTCATATAAACTGAGAGTGAATGGAATCGAAAGATTTAAATTACCTCTCTGAATAAATTCATTCTATTCCAATTGAGAGAGATAGGAATCAAGGGATTCAAATTAAGAGAATTGAATGGCGGATTTGAATCATCGTAAAAATTATGAACTGAATTAATAGGAAAATGATCAATCAAATCCATGAGTCTCTATGATACATAAAGCTGGATTCAGTATCCAATTCTAAATCGGTCTTTCGAAACATTGATCGTAATTGTTCGGCGTTAGATGACGACAATTATTTTATGTAAATTTTACCATAAATGTAACTCTAATGTTAATACCTAAACACGTTCTAAATTTTCCTTTTTTTCTGAATTTTTTTTCCTTTATAAAGGATGCTTTTGATATTTATTTTTTTATTGAGATTTAGAATTAAAAGGTTTGCTTTGAAGTTAATGCTTTAGAATTTTTTAACTATGCATAATTTGTAAGAAATAAAAAATGGAAAAAGTCATATTGTTTTTCAATAAAATAATTTTTTATGAGCTTCTTACCGCAACAGTAACATCATAATACTCTCCTTCCGCTTTCAACTACATGGACAATTAACCCCTTGGCATTCGGAGGGTTTTTTTTTTTTTTGTTTGTTTTTCTTTGGTCGGACAGTAACCGTTTGACAACAAATATCTTTAGTTTTTTCTTTTATTTAAAATTTTATTAACGGTAGCCCCTATTAAGCAATGTTTGATAATGTAGCATTTTTTCATGAGAGACTTGAAAGTATTTTTTTGCCATGTTCAGAAAAACGCGCTAAGTTTGTTTAATTATTTAATACTTTAATTTATTTTGCTAATATTTTAGCAAATGCAATTGTAAGAACATTATTTTTTCTCAGAATAATCACTTGGTTTTTTTTTCTGATTTTGATATTTTTTGACATATTTCATTGTGTCCTAAATCATGAAATTTTTTTTTAGTCCCATAAAACAAAAACTTATAAGGAAGAATATTATTTTAATAGTTTTCCTGGTGATTTGATTCATTCAAAATTTATGCTACCGGGGCATTAAAAATTTAAAATAATAATTTTTTCTAAAAACAAACCTTATTTTTTATCTCTTCTTAATAAAAATAATTCGAAAGAAATTTGTACATTTTCCTTTTCTTTGAGATCATTTTCTTGAGCGTCAAAAGACCTTTTTTTTTTTTATCGATTACGGTTATTGGGGGAAATGTAAAGAAATGAGACAATTAGTTATAAAGATTTACACAGCTGTCAACAGTAAAATTGAAGTAAAGCTTGTAAATAAACAATTGTGAACGAATACTGAAACCATTATTTTGCTTTTTCGGTAAAAATATTGGGGAAAAGACGAAGGTGTTTCCACCTTTTATATTTTTATAGGAACTTGTTGGATACATTTTTATGATGCTTCTCAATCAACTAAATTTTTATAACATATATATATATATATATATATATATATATATTTTTATTTACGTTCTGATCACAATATTT